ACTCTCGGAAACGTTCTAAAAAAGAACAAAATACGAACAAATCTCTCGCTAACGCACTCAAGAAGAACAGAATGAGAACGAAACTTTCGAGAGAACAAAATAAGAACGAAAGTATCGAGAACGTTTTCAAGGAGCATCTAATAAGAACAAAAACAATCTAGGGAACGTTCTGATAGAGGGCTCATTGCAACTTCCATATCGTTTATCATTAAGGTGACCGTTCACTTAAGGAAAAAATTTTGATTCTCCCAGTCAACAAAAAAAAAAAAAGAGTTCGTATCTTAAGTCTTTCGTTTACTTAATTTGCATAATTATCTTATCTTAGAAATGTTCCCGAATGTATTGCTCGTTAATATTATTCTCTCTGCAAACATTCCACACGGTTTTGTTCTTATATAAATCGCATTGAGAACGTTTTCGAAATTTCCTTTGTTCTCATTTGAGTTTTAGTTTTAAAGTGTGCTTGGCAACAAAATGTGTTCAAAATATTAGATTAAACTTATTGCTGCCAACCCTTGTTTTGTTTGCTTCTGACATAAAAAAAAAAACATTATAGACCCTTTCTTATTTGTTTTATGGAGTTCGTAACACAAATATAAAACGTGGTAAAAAAAATAGACCAAAGAAATACAACTGAATCAAGGAAATACGCTGGTCATTTGATCGCCTGGGTAACAGAGAGCAAAAATTTCAAAAAATCATTTATGTACGTACAGTTGTGTTCGCACAAATAGTAGTAAAAAGTATTGAAGTATTGACAAGTTGTATTTTTGATGCGAATTAAAAAAAAAAAAAAATGGAGTACGCAGTTTTGTAGCACATTCAGTTTCAGTAGAAGACGGGCTCGAGTCAGAATTTGTTTGCATATTTTAGGCTACAAATTTAAAACATATTTATTTAGTGTGCTTAATAAATACAACATTCACAACAAAATGTTGACTGAAGGGTATAATACCGAATTTTCGCTAAACGAGTTTTCGAAAATTGAATAGGTTTAAATGTGTTTGTGCAAATAAAATTACAGGCATTCGAATATTAAAAATCAAAGTAAAGCTACATATACAGTGAAAGCTCTCATAAACGAATGCTCTAATAAGCGGATATCTCCCATAAGCAGATACATTCTTAGGAACGAAGAATTTCTGTTTTTTTTTTACATACAAAATGCTCTCCCCTACACGGACTTTCCTTTCCGATAAACGGACGCAGACATTCAAACATGTCTAGTTATGAAAAAAAACCTCCATAAGCAGACGTGAAGGCTGGTTAGACGTCAATTATTATTTTTTTTTTTTCTACAATTTATATTGAGCTCGAGGCTGTTTTAAATGAAAATTTTTATTGTGGAAAAGCAACAATAATTGGAAAAAATGGGAGAAGTGATAGCTATTTCGGAAATCACCACATTTCCTCATCAGACTTCTTTCAGTAGGATTCGAACCGACGATCCCACTGACTCAGCCAGTTGCCTATGCACCGTGCTAAGTACGCCTTTTTTTTTAATCATATTTTGACTCCTGCGCTTGTAATTGTATATATGTATATACAGGAACATACCTACGTATTCAAAGTTATTTTTTTTTCTAGAAAAATCATTGCCTTTTGGTCGCGATCTTCTTGCTTCTTGAACGAAGCGGGCAATGAGATTTGTCATTTGTTTTTGTCTGTTTGAAATAGTAAGTCTGTTCTAGGAGATTCACGATATGCAGGTTTTTACAAGAATTCGTTCCCGGTCGTCACCTTACAAAAGGTTTATTAATGACGAAAACAGCTGTGAAACCTGCAAATCGTGAATTACCTGAAAAAGGGCTATTATGTTTTGTTAAATGCTAGGAAACGAGACAATTTCAATGTGACAGCTTTTGAAAAAAGGTTTAAATTTAATGAACGTTCATCAACTTTTGCCAAGAGTAGCTGTTAAATTTACCATCGCTTCAAAAATGCTTGGATCGAGTTCTAGCCTGCGTAACAAAGGAGTTTTGGGGATCCACGATAAAACACAAAATTCTTGCGCTAGCACATCCAGTTCATTTTTATTAAATTTTCATCGGCGCAGAGTATGTAGCAACTTTGTCAACTCTCATACATAAGTCATATTCCACTACGCGAACAAAAATTAAAAATGTGTTCATTAGGCTGTGTCATTTTTGAGCAACTTTTTTTTTCAACTAAAAAACAGGCTAAAAACTTTCAAAAAGGTGAAAAAAAGAGCCCTCTAAAAATTTGAGCTCTTAATATTATCATTAAGTGGTGCCTGTTCCTAACTTTCCATTTCACATATAAATAACATGGGAAAAAAATGTTTCGTTTTTCTTATTTTTGTAGCTTGACATATAAGCATTGTAAAAATGAACTGAAAAATTATTTTGGTAGAAAATTGAACGCTCTACAAAAAAGTTCTAATTAATTTTTTTTTTACAGAGTGAGCCGTTCTGAAGATATACAAACTTAAAGTTGCAAATGTATGAAATTATGATTTTTATTTTACCAAACTAATACTGAATGTTAATTTTCAATGGATGGTTAATAATTTCGAGTAGTCTTAACAATTCTCTTCACTTTTTCTCAAAATCTATATTTTATGTTTTTCGAATAATATTATTCCACTCTACTTAATTAAAATAAAATTTTAAACCATTAGCCTTAGAGGCTTTCGGCTCCCAGAGCTCACTGATATGTTTGTTACACAATTTCATTTAATATGTATGCATTTTCTCATTTGTTATTATAAAGTCATACGTCAAATGTTTTATTGTTATTATTTACCTAAGCTTGTTATTAATAAGGCACACACGCAAAGCAAAACATTCTCAGGCTCTTCTTGTAGAACTATTAAATTTCATTTATCAAAGCTCATAAACAGTAAAACAAATAGAAAGAGGGAGATAGTAAACATTTGTAGACAAAAAAGCAATGAAGTTGCTAAGCACAAACAATCTTGGAGTTACGTTAAAGCATAAAAATAGAAATAAATGCTTTTCGCTTCAGTTCCTTTCGTTTGCTTTGTGAAGGCATCTCAGTCAAATTCCACGGTGTTGGTTTTACAACAAAGCTGCATTAGTGTAAATGACTATGTGTGGGCTGATACAGCGAAACGATTTATCACAATATTAAACCAGAAAGCATTAAGCTACTAAATACGATTTTTATATAAGTATACACGTAAATATGTACATAAATAAATCGTACGAATTTATGTTTGCACGTATGCTTGCTTAAGTTATTGCTAAATTAGGTACAGAAATACGTTGGACAAGAGAGAAAATTTTCTTTCAAAGTAAATAATTTTGAGTTCGTATTAATATCGGCCAAATAACTAAAATAATATTTAAGGTCAATAAATATGTACAATAAAGTGGTCCAAAAAAATGTTTACGAATTATGGTTGTGACCACCTTCCGATTTTTTTTTTCTATGTATAAATATAGAGGATGCTCATGAAAGCATACCCTAGAATTATATTGTCCATATATTAACGAAACAATTGGCTAAGCAACCGAAACCATTTCAAATTTAAATTAGCTGAAAAAATACCACCTGCTTCAGTTGTCTTGGCAAAAATTGAAATTTTATATTTTTTAGCGAAAAATATCCATATAATATCATCTGAAGATGAATTCCATACAGACCTTTTAATACAGCCATATCGTTCTAAAACTAATAAGACCATATAACCGCGATATTTTACTTTTATAGCAACCTCTAATCGGAATGGTGGTCGTAAACAAGTTTCTAGAGGAGCGAGGCTCTCTAATATAAAGCTCCCTAAACCTGGCGCGAGGACTAGAACATGACTAATTGCAAGGTGCCAGGGAATGGAAAACCTCCGAGTGTACTTCTGGCATGAAAAAACCGCTTCTCAATCGAGATAAGAGCTCTCCTATATTTTTAGTAAGGCTAAATGACATCAGTGTGCAACATTTCCTGATGATCGATTAAGTGATTAGAGCGTAATAGAGTAACAAACAAATAAAGGCACTTTCGCTTAAATAACACCATGCGACAAAAATCTAACCTAACTAATAAATTTGGAAGGAAAAAATAATTAATTAATTTTTTCAAAAATAAATATTAGGAATTTTTAAGGATATTCAAGTATAAAATTTTAAAAAGACATCAATAGAGACATCAAGAGAGAAAAACTAAGAACACAATTTTACTATATTTGGTTCCTAGTTTAGTTATTTTTTATTTTTATTTTTTTTCTGTGTGTAAAATTTTCTTGCAGCAATTAAAATAGGAGATATACATACATATATATTTTCTTTTCTACTTATATACTGTGAAGCCTTGGCAAAGTGAATTTTACACAATATATGCAAAGTTTTGCTTAATTTTTTGGCTAATTTTTTATAAATATAATATACAAAAAAATAAAAATAACATATCTAAACTATGTACAAATCGCAGAAAAATTCAATAAATTTCCATAAAAATTTTCAAACAAATTTGTTTTAGAAAAAGTTGAATATCGCAGTAATGGAAGCTTCATTTTAGTATAACGAAATGCATTTTTAAGATAGCGCTGAATTACCGTTGATTTTTATTTCTATTTTTTATTTTATTTTTTAAGCTTATTAATTCATTAGAATAAAAAATAAAATCAATAAAAATTTTGAATTTTTTATTTTTATTATTATTACTTATTATTTTTATTTTTGTTGAAAATTTTTTTGAGAGTTAAAAATTTTAATTTTTTTTTTGAGTTTTGCACAAAATTTAAAAATTTGATTTTTATGTTTTTTGTTGTAGTATGAACTATATGTTTATGAAATATTTGCGAAAAGTAGATAAAATAAACCACTTTTTATACAATGTACAAAATTTTTTATGCCTAGGCTTTTGTGTTTGACTGTATTTTTTATTTACAAAAATGTGCATTCCATGAATGTATTTTATAAGGTCTTCTGCAAAAACGTTTTTTTTTTTAATTTAGAAAATAAAGAAATCAAACCAATTTCAATTTCAACTTAAATCAACTTTTTTTCTTTCACTTTCAGTTTCTTCGGAACGTAATCAAGCAAAACTCATTCAAGCACGAAACTGGAGATGTTTTCGCGAAACTCATAATGTATCCAAATTTTCATCCATCCAACAAACCAAAGTGAACAGAAGATGATTGCAAAACAAGTGAAATCGCATAAATTAAAATAATCAAATTGAAATTATCGAGATGATCAGCAGCACTGCTAAGTAATAATTTTACAATTATCACTTTTCATTTACACCTACTTAAGTTGTTAACTGCACTGCGTGCTTTTGCTGCGAGCGCAATTGTAATACATGTAAGCACGAACATAAGCCATATCTCAAGCAAATTGCCAACTAGTAGTTTGCTTTAAACGTACGCTTTCGTACCTAAATGATTACCATCGCGCATATGTATTCTTATATAAATATGTATTGTATGTAGCATGTACTTACGCGGTATGTGCAAATGCGTTTACTTGGCCTTTTGTGATTGCTGATAGATAAGACCACTAAAAGAAATCACCAATAATTCGTTCACTCAATGCAATTCGTCGTCATCGTCGTTGTCGCTCTCGTCATCGGTCGGTCAAGTAGCGCACATATGTATGGGGTGGCACATTACAAGTTACCTGCAGCGTAAGCAACAATAACAAAAGTGTAGTATACTTACATACATACATCAAGTGCTTGAGTGCGTGATTGGCATTGCTTTCAGACATACATACACACATCTGCATTGTGTTTTGTTTTGCTGTGTTTTTTTTGTGTGTGTGTGTGTTTTGTTGCATTGTTCTAGCTGTCAGCCCTGCTGCTGTACGGTTGGCTCTCTACACGCATTTTTCGCCATATTTGGCCTTTCGCACAAGATTATCGCGCGCACATCCTGGTGAATCGCAGCACTTTTGCTGATTGTATGGCATTACCATTTTAAATCAACTACACTGTTTTAGAGGTGAGTAAAAGCTTTTTTTATTGTTGATATTTTGTGTTGCAATTGTTGTGTGTAGATGCTAAATTTAATGTAAGTGTTGTAAAGTGGCAAAATTATAGTGATTTTCGTGAGTAATCTATTCTATCTGAAATAGGAAATGTAAAATTTGCAGCTACGTTGTGCCTGAATTATTTTCTGACATACATAAATTGAAGCATATAGAAAAGCATTTGATTTGTATGTAATTTTTTTTTTTTGTAGATTCAACGTTAAATCAGACTTAACATTTTTGACGTAGAATACGTCTTACCTTAAGGTATGGGGGCTATGTTCAAATGTTGTAGTTGTAATTTTTAGAGCTTCACAAAAACGCTTATTGCACGAGAACTAATAAAGCGATTTCAAAGAAAAGTGTGGCGTTTCAAAGATAAAATTCCAAACCTGTCGACAGATTCATTTTTGTA